TCTGGCTCAGAAGGGATGTGTTTAATAATCCTCCTGACTGCGAGACCTCCTGCGTGTGCATATGTCCGTGTGTCGGTGTGTCGGTGTTGAGCTATGCCCGGCTGTTCGCGCCCTCCGCGGACAAAGACGTCTCCCGTTCTCGAGCGCGGCAGCCTGCAAAGTGTGAATAATTTTCAGCGAGGAGTTACACTAAGTGGGAAAGCTTTTAGCACATTATCCGCTGGCAATTGGACTATAATCTAATTGTCAGCCCTCGGGTCCTAATAGAGCCTTTCTCTTTCCACCATTGGATTTGCATCTGAGAGATGCCTAATGGGTTTAAATGCCTCGCATTTTGCTCCAATAAGCCACCTTTTCGCTGTAGGTGACATTGAGACGTTTTTGTTGTGAAATCGGATCTCAGGTACCTGGGCTTCTGCCTTGCTGGCGTGGCTTTTTTCGTGAAGGGGAGAATGTGAAGCGGTGGCAAGGGGGGCGATGTCCCCGCCGCAGCAAGAGCGCTGGGAAAGGGGGCTGGTCCGAAATCGGGGAGCGCAAAGAGAGGAGGAATCCGACGGAGAGAGCAATATAATTATGTCCAGAAGAGGAGAAGAAAGCTCCTGAAAGCAGGGCTCGTAACCGCAACCGGGAGGTTGCAGAGGAGCTAGAGCTGCAGCCGGGGAGCGCTGTAGCCGTCGCTCTGTGAAGCTGCGGTGCGCTCGCAGGGCACGAACGGGAGCGCTTGAGACCGAGCGAATAAACACCATTCTTTACACAGGACAAGCTGTTTTCGTCTACAAGGGGTAAAAATAAGAAAAAACCAAAAGATTTTAATCCCTCGTCTCCCGAGGCAGAAGTGCCTTCAAGCCCAAAGCAGTGCCGTAGGTTACCTTGCAGAGATGCTGCGGGAGAGAGTGTCAGACACAGACTCCCGTCGACACCGGGTCAGCATCGGTCGGGGCGGGACGGCGGCAGTGAGGGTCTCGGCAGCGGTCACCCCGCACCTTTAGGCTCCTAATTAAATGGAAGGGTGGCCCTCGCCCTCTGCACAGACGACGGATCCGAACGGGAGACGGGGAAATAACAAAGGAGAAGGGATGAGATGCAAATACCAGGTTATCCCAAGAGGTAGCCGAGAGAGAGCGGGTGTGTCAGGTCGGCTCGGTGCCGGGCGCCGTTTAGGGGCACAGCCCCACAGGTGCCACAGCGGGGCTGCCTACAGGTTTGTCTCTGTGGCGTGAAGCGTGTGGTGTGGAGGCTTTTGCGAGAGAAACAAAAATAATAATAATAAAAAAGAGGCAATGGCCCCCCCATCACTGCGAGAAAGACTTGCTTAAAATCTGAACACGGCTCCCTGCCCGATCTGTGCCCCTCTCCACACACCTCCCCCGCCGCCGGGCCTGAGCGGCCGCGCAGAAACGCACAGGGTCGGAGCTCTTGTCAGAAGGCGCACCTGAAATCATCCCTCTGGCTCGGCAGGTTTCCCAGCGGGTTCCTGTGGGTTTCTGTCTCTCGTGTCTCATTCCCGTCGTGATTTTGTCTAGGTGAGGAAAGGACCGGGAGGAAGAGGTGCTCATGATTTTCAAGGGAACGCGTTTTCTCCTTGGCTTTCAGGGATCAGAGGGATGTTTTGGAGGGGGGCTGCAAGCTCCCTGTGTGAAACCTGACGGCGAAACTGAGACCTAATCCTGATTAAAACTGGGAATCGAACGAGCGCGACGAGGTGTGCACCAATTACCCGCACGCTTTCTTTGCCGGTGCACAAGAGAGTAAGGAGTTTTTTAGGCAAAGGAAGATGGGAAAAGAGGTACTTGGAAAGGATAATGAAGCCTAATGAAATGGCTCTGCCACAGCAGGCTGACACTAGCGACAAACACATGGATTTGCTAGACTGAAAACAAACTGTGGTGTAGATTGCGTGTTCTTTATGTACGGATAAACAATAACGAAGGGTTTAATTGAAACGGGTTCAAACGAGGCAACCGCCTTGTTGGGGTGCAACAGGGTTGGTAACTCTGCTCTCGGGAGGGAGTCGGTATAGCGGTGACAGCCGGTCTGTGCCCGGCTGTGGCAGGGACTGGCTGCTCCGGTTCTCGTCCCCCGGGAAGAGCGCGCGGACGTTATTGAATACATCCACTTGGTTGGGAAAGCAGAGAGGGACCAAGAGCACTGGAGTAGTGATGGGTTTCTCAGCTGCCCCCTCGTCTCTGGAAGCCCCCACTGTTCCCGGAGAGGGCCATGGGCAGGGACGGCAAAGCAGCTCAGGGGAGCAGGACTCTCACCCCCTTCCCACTCGAGTACCCTGATCCCCGTGTCTCTCCAGTTCAGACCCGGTGGGGGAGGGAGCCGTAGCGAGGATTAGGCGGCCAGAGCTGAGCCCCATTCTCTGCCCACGGGGAAGGAGGGGGTGCTCTGGACGTCTAGACAAGGCTCATTTCCTTATCGGAGGCGGGGCGGGGGAAAAACTAAAAAAATATAGATTCTAGTGGGATAGAGCGAAAAATTGCATGGCTTACCCAAGCAAAAGAAAAGCCATCGCGTGTGGACGGACCCGTTTAAAATAAAATAAAATAAAACAAAACGAAGCTCCTAGTTTCTTTCATCCCCGAGTTTTTGATCTCCGAGGTACGAGAAGGGACCCTCAAGCCCCCACGTCCGGTCTCTCTCCCGGGGGGCAAGCCCCTGCCCGAAGGCAACCGCCAGCCCCGTCCCAGGTCCACGGCCGTGCTGCGGCCTCGGTTTCCCCCTCTCGCCACTCTGCTCCCCTCCCCGCCCGACCCTCCCTACCCCGCTCACCGCGCAGCGCTTCCCCGCGCCGCGGCCGAGTCCTTCTCTCGCAGATAAAGGTAGGGACTAGCCGCTCCACAGGGTTGGAAATCCCGCGACGAGACAGAACAGAAAAGAGTTCCGGGCTGCCGCAGCTGCGGGGGCTGAGCCGGTACTTTCCATGTGGACCGAAATATTCTCCGCCACTCGCCACCCCCTCCCCTTAGCCCCGATGGGCCGGGGGCAGCCTCTGCTAGGGAGAGGTATGTTGCGACCTGGCTGCTGGGGGACGGAAATAAGCTTTTTTTTTTTTTTTTTTTTTTTTTAATTATCCTTATTTGTGGGGAGCATAAAGTAGGTAGGAAACCAAAGGCATCCCTGCCACCACCAGAGAAACGATGAAGACAATGATTTCCCCGGCTATTTGTACCAGGCCGGACCCTGCTTTTCAGGTAGGTCCAAGAGAGCGCAGGGCCGGAACCCCCGGGATCTCTGTCCCACCGCCCCTCACACGCCAGGAGCGGGGCTGTCCCGCAAGGACACCGAGCCCGTAATTGGAGGGATGTCCCTTGGGATAAAGCGGTAAAGCATTTGGGGGACTTTTTGTTCGTTTGTTTTCTTCGGATTGATGTCGACAGAACCGTTAGTCTCGGTTTCGCTGTGTCAAGAGGCGATGCTTCGCGATCTGACCCTCCCGGCTCTCCGGCCCCGGTGCCGGCCGGGCTCTCCCTTTTCTCCCCTCTTCCCCCGCTTATACCTGAGGCAAGACCGGGCCCCCAGACCACTGTGGGCCACGCCGAAATCCTCTGCCAAACGGTTCAGGCGCTTCTAAATCTTCACATCCCTTTTGTGGTAGATATCCTATCTATTAGCAAATTCAGGTAATAAAAGGGCAAACTGCAGTTGGTTCTCTCTGACCTCAAAGCAATAAAGCACTATTTCGTCTTCCCTACTTCACTGGCTCTGAAGTGTGACCCGAGTAATTATTTCTCCACATTGATTAATTAAATACAGCAGGAATAGGAGTGGCACAGACTATACCTTACCAGGTATGTCATGGCTCTTGGCACAAGCCTGCATGCTAAAAACGCTTGGATTCGGTCCTAGGCTTAAAAGGTGGAACTTCAGTGACGAAGCTGCATGTCCTCTTATGAGTCGTTTTAGCGAGCAAACATTTTCAGCCATATTTTCATTTAAAGGAATTTAATTAAATGCCTCGGTTTTTGTTTTGCTTGTTTGTTTTTTAATTTATTTATGGGAGTATGCTTACATGATACGTGTATAAGAGTACTGGTGAGCAATTTGCTTAAATCACTGCCTTGAAATAATCTGCTCGTTGGCACTATCAGCCCGACCCGACTTTCTCTCAGTTTTTTGTGCTTGATCGATACCATCTAGTTTGGTGAAGCCGATGAAACGGACTTGAAGAAAACTGTGCGATCAGCGGCCCACGCACTGGTTTAGCTGGGAAGAGAACGCAGCAAGGGTCTCACCTGGAGTCGGTGGGGGAGAGTACGTCTGACTGGGATGACAGTATTTGGGATCTTTTGCAGGAAAACCAAGTGCACGATCAGCCTTAAGGAACATTCTGTCCCAGCAGAAGGCACACAACGACGAAAACGGCTGCTTTCAAAGTTGTGGTCTTTTAATATTTGAATTCAAAATAGAAAATTGGCACTCACACACACGCACCAGAAAAATCCACAATTTCTTTCCATCCTTTCAACGGCTTCTCCGCTGATTTTTGCCTCAGCAAAGCGAATAGCCTAGGGACCTTCTCGGGAGCATCCCCGGTCGTGCGGCCTGCCCCCCCCGTTCCCGCCCCCAGGGCTCCGAGGAGCAGAGAGAGCACCCCGAACTGCAGCCGGGGCCCCGGAGGGGAGCGGGGCTGGGCTGCCCGAAGGGGGAGCGGCAGCGGGAAATCGTCCCGAGGGCCGGCCGCCCCCTGCCCACCCCACAGGCTGGCAGAGCCGTCCCCTCCCATCCCGCCCGTCCCTCCTCCTCCCGCTGCCCGCCTCCGTCGCCTCCGCCCCCTCCCCCGCGGCCGGGCCGGGCCGGGGCCCTTGACGTGTCCCGGCGCCGATTGGCCGCTGGCCGATAGGATCTCCGCGGCCCCGCGTTAAGGCGGGGGAGCGCTCGGCGCCGGGAGCAGAGCGCTTCCCGGTATCCCGGCTCCACCACTCTCGGTCGGTATTCACGCCCGCCCCGTCTGGGCAGTACCGCACCGAGCCGCGCCGCTTCTCCGCAGAGTGGCCATGGAGTACACGCCGCCCCCGAAGCCGCAGCTCTCCTCCCGGGCCAACGCCTTCTCCATCGCCGCCCTCATGTCGACCGGCAGCTCCAAGGACAAGGAGTCCCCCGAGAGCACTATCAAGCCTCTTGGTGAGTGGGGACGAGAGTGTCCACCGGGTGTCCGTGGGGTGCGAAACTCCCCTCCTTCCGTCTGTCCCTGGCGGAGCCCACTGGCCTCCCTGACTCACCCTTCTCCGCGCTCCGGCAACCGGGGCCGGGCAACGGCGTGTCCCCCCAGCCTGAAGGCTTCCCCTACAGAGGGGAAAGCCACACCACCTAAATCAGTTGAGTGTCTTCATCACCCACGGTCGTTTTCAGGCGAGGCTGTTTATGGCATAAACAGTTTCCTAAATTCCTCCAGCTTCAGCTATTCCATTTATATATCCAGCTTCGCCATTTGTAGAATAATCTCACACCCTAAGGTAGTTTTATTTCTCTTTGCTGATATGAAATTAATCTCTTAAATATTTATTGCAAATCCTCTCTGTTTTTGAAGTCAAATGAGAAGATTCTCCATTATCGTGCCTATGCTTACAAGGGGTATAAAACTTGTGTGTAGACCTGGAAATCCCTTTGCTCCACAGCTCCACGATGTAGGCTCATACAGACTCTTTTACTCTTCATAGACCGAAGGATTTTTGTAGTATTGCTTGCGATTTTTGGGTAAGCGATTTCGCTTCTATTCGGTTGCCTCGATTCAGAATCCTAAAAGTTTTTAAAAAACATTAACGTCTTTCCCTTATCTCTCACCCTCCTCCCCACCGAGTTTCTGAGGTTTATCGTCCTTACATGTATCCAGGAGTTCGCAGAAAACTACAAAAAATGTGTTAAGCTCTCAGGGCGCCAATGAACAGGATTACATTCAACCTTAAAAGAATTTAGAAAAGGCATCTCCCTCAGCGTCTGCTCCATCTAATCAACTGTCTCAAAAGATTTCACATAGTCCAGGGATTCATTGTGAACTTTATTTTTTAGTCTAGGCGCTAGCGTAGGCCGGGAATGTTGTAGTATTCCCATTCGGCATGTTTACAAGGGCTTGTGTTAAACGTAGTGTTAGTGCTACTGGGGATTTGTTTGTTTTTTCCTTTTTTCCTGAAAACGCTTGTTTAATTTAACTTTTCAAAAATTTTTAACTCCGTCCCACACGCCATTCAGCTTTTGATCGAAGGGAAACGGCTGCCTGTAACTCGACTTTTATTAAGTGGAGATTCGGGTAAAACCTTTCCCTGCAGGGGTAGGGCGCGTTCGTGCACCACCCGTTCCTTGGCGCCGGGCGGCGGATCCGCCGCCGCATCCCGTGCCGCAGCATGGGGCCGAGGCAGAGCCCGCGCAGCCCTGGTCCCTCCCGGCCTCGTCTACAGGGGAAACTCCCAGCGGAGCTGCTGAAGCCCCCAGAAACTTCCCGGAACTTGCGGGGGTGGGCGGCAGCGCCGGCGGGACCAGCCGCGGCGGGAGGGCAGCGCCAGCAGCAGCTACTGCACCCACGTAGGTTGCGCGGCCGCACGCAGCTCCCCCGGAGCCTATTTCTCCAAAGGACCTTGTTCAGCGTCAGCAAACCGGCAGGGAGGCAAGGCAGACCTGGTTTTCCGGGAGGGTGACCCTGCGCTCGCCGTTGAATTAGTATTAAGGGTTCGCTTCCCCCGCGGAGAAAGTGCGGAGCCCGCGCTCCTGCGTTGCGCGCTCTGCCAGCGGCGCAAAACAGGAGCAGCCTCAGCGCTGCCCCAGCGTGGCCCCGGTCCTCAGCAGACCCTCGGCGCCCAAAGCTCCCGTTTTAATGAGAATTAGTGACCTTTCCATGGAACGCCTGGGTTAGCAGGGGGGCAGCGCGCAGGGCCTGCTCTGCCCCCTCCGCGCCCCGCGGAACGGGTCACAGCCGGGCGGCGACGTGGCCGGGGTCGCGCTGCCCCCCGCCGCCCCCCGGCATCTCTCCCGGTGAGCCTCTGGAGAGTGGCACTGCTCCGTGCTCTTCCCGGAGCTCATCTCAAAAAATCACCACCGCTGCTCTCAAAATGATGAGCTGACGCCTAAAGAACAAGCGCGGGTCTGCGAGTGTGCTGGGGCAGAACGGAGGCAGATAAACGACAAATGCCTTTTTATATATAGATAGATATATATACATACATATTTAAATAGCTTGTCTCGGCGGTCGCCCCGTCCTGGCTGAATGCCCCTAGACTCTCTCTCTCCTTCCCCCCCCCCCCAAACTCTGCAGAACAATTCGTTGAGAAATCCTCTTGCGCCCAGCCTTTGAGCGATTTATCCAGCCTGGACCCTCACGGGGATTTTAGCAGCAGCCCTTCGTCCCTGTGCACCGAGCCCCTCATACCCACCACTCCCATCATCCCCAGCGAGGAGATGGCCAAAATCTCCTGCAGCCTGGAGACCAAAGAGCTCTGGGACAAGTTTCACGAACTGGGTACCGAGATGATCATCACCAAATCCGGGAGGTAAGGCTGAGCAGCCCCGGGTTTTTCCTCCGGGCAGCTTTCAAAAAGTGGCTTTGGTCAGGGGGGAATAAGGCAAAGCAACAGAAACCCCGCGGGTTTTGTATCGGGAGAGCAGCAAGGCTGGGCTAAGGGGAGAGGAGGAGGAGGGTGAAGCCCCTTATTTGCCGCAGCTCCTCGGCGGGCCCGGCCCGGCGCTGCGCGGTGCGGTGCACGGAACCCCGCTGGGGCAGAGGGAGAGGCGGTCCGGGGCGGCAGCGGGGCGGATGGAATCCATCTGAGGGGTCCCAGTGGATGGGTAGAAATGTTGTTTCCCTTATAATTCGGTCTGTAACAAAAATACCGCAGTGATTTTTGCGGGGCTGGGTTGCTACAGACCAAAGGAAACGCGGGGACGTGGGGAAGTAATTCGGTCAGAGCATAGCTTGGTTTGTTCTTTTCACTCGGTTACAAAAACGCGCATAAGAATCCCACGCCTTCTCGTAATCTCAAACTATGCCGTTTCGTCAGTAAAGCTTTTGGATTTGAGTCAGTCAAACGGAGTCCGGAGAAGCCAGATGTTTTTTCGGGTCTTGTAATCGCCCAAGTTACTTTTTATTAATGTAGTTCCCTGACGATATTTTTTTTCCTAACTGGTGAGATTTATCGGCATATTTTTTTTTAAATAATATTTAAAAAAAAAAAGTAGGTAAAACCCCTGCAATCTGAAGTTCAACATTTCAAATTGTTCAAAGGTATTTAACTTTATTTCTGGTCTACAACATAACTTTACACTTTTAAATTTTGTTTTGTCAAAACTTAAGTACCGAAAAGTAAGTTTAGTTTTGAAAATTCCTCTCAAAAATATCGTGAGCAGGCTTAGAAGAACACTCATCCAAAATATGTGAGAATAATAACGGAAATAATTTCTGCAATATTTCCCTAACAGTAGTATGGATGCCATAAAAATTAAAAAAAAAAACCAAAACCAACTTTCTAAAGATTTATGTACCTTAGGTACAACTATTTTCTGAAATCATTGTGTACTTTTAACTAACAGGCAAACAGTATATTTCTCCTTTACTTTTTAATTTTTACCATTTTTTTTTCCTTTTTGCTTTCCAAATATCATTGGGATTTCAAGCTGCTTTTTCTCTGCCTATTGGAGAGACACAAGGTTTAACTTCCACCATGCTTAAGCAGAATCAACAGATGCTTTTAGTTTTTACAGGTGGTTTAAATATAATTCTTACTTGTATGAGCTTTTCAGAAACTCTCTTATTTCTGTTCTCTATCCGCATATTTATTTTCTGATTTGCCTTTATTTCAGGAGAATGTTTCCAACGATCAGGGTTTCCTTCTCGGGAGTGGATCCTGAGGCCAAGTATATTGTGTTGATGGATATAGTTCCTGTGGACAATAAAAGATATAGATATGCCTACCACAGGTCTTCCTGGTTAGTGGCTGGAAAAGCTGACCCTCCTCTCCCTGCAAGGTTTGTAGATTTTACTGCTGATCTTTTATTTTTCTTTACTTTTCTTTTTTATTTCCTTCAAGAAATACTTCCTATTGATTTTTCCATGCTGTTTGCAAACAGTGCTCTGAGATCTTGAGTCCATGCTCAACAGTTGGTTGCAAAACTGATTAATTTTCTGTGATGCAGAATCTGGCCTCAAACCTGTGCTTGAGGTTTGATTTATACTGAGTGTTCCAAGGCATGCAGAATTTGTTTAAGGGTTCTTTTATACAAATGTTGTTTGGTTTTTATTTTTTTAAATTAAGTTTATCTTGGTTGAGATAAGAAAGCTTGAAAAAAAATTATTTGTCCCTTGGCTCGGCCCCTCCCCCCCAGTATTTGACCCCATAATTTAAAGCGATTCAGGTACCACTAGCCAAGCCAAAGTGGAAATACTACACTACAGTTCAGTGCTGTTTATGCTTGAAATTATATTATTTCTCTAACATATCCAGCATTTGCTAACCAAGAATTCTATTCTTGCTTTTAGTCATCTCATAGACAGCAGGCAAAATACCGATCAGTTCTACAGCACAGATACCTTTTTTTTTTTTTGCTTAAGAAATCATGACATATTCTGAGACATCAGGAAAAAAAATCAAATAATTTCTCTAAAATTAATTCCTTTTTCTATAGAGAAAGAAATGCTGTAGAAATTAAATTTCTAAAATCATTCAATTAATGTAATTAATGTATGATTCCTTTCATCACTGGGCAACTGAGGCTGCAGCACTAGGCTGTATGATGGGAAGGCACTTCAGCGGAGACCCACACTTCATCATATTCAGCCCAACACTTCAGTACGTACTTAAGTCCCCAAGTCCAGTAAGACTGCAGCACATGTCGAACGGCTTTGCTGAGTCAGAGCCGGAGATATGAAAATAATGGGGATGCCTCTCTGACTTCAAAGAAACTTTTTGTGGAAGGCTCTGCACAGGGATACGGCTCTGCTCCAGGTGGCTTAGCCTGGGGTTAAGAACTCACCTATTACAGAGGTAGAAATTAGAAGTGAAACACAAGAAATGGAAACAAATTTTTTGGTGTGTGAGCATAGGCACAAAATACTGCACAATTTCCTTATATAAATAGTTGAACTGAAATCTTGGTGACTAGTGATCTCTGGAAGGCTGCTCAGGGAAGTAAACAAACAAAAAGCACAACCGAAGAAGCTGTGATTAAAGACAGCAACCTAGGAGTTATGTTGGCTTTGTTTTCATGGCCAAAAACTCCTTTTTGCAATGTGGTTAACGTCTGAGGGCTTCATTTGACGTATTGTAATGGGCACTGATCGAAACCTTCTCCAAAGGAGTGAGCATCAAAAGAAGAAATAACAGAAGGACAGAAATAGTTTTAAGGCAGGGTTCTCCCCTTCTTTTTTTCTGTGTTCACGCCCCTTTTGGGATACCTTTAAATAGATGCTAATTTGCACTTTATCTGGCACAGTCTAGTTCAAAAAGGAAATACAAGAACATAAGAGGCTGATCCTTGTAATAATTAGCAACTGCCCTATTGAGTGTTTTAAAGTTGGGGTCAAACCTTCTTGAAGTTTAATAGTTATTATCATTGTACTGTGGTAGCTCTTTAGGGTCCTCAATGGATCAGTACCCCGATGTGCAAATGTGTATCTGTGCTGTTCCATTTTCAGGATACTTTGCCTCTATGTATAAATGTACACCTTTCCTCTTTCATTTTCAGGATGCTTAGCCAAAAAGACTATTGATCATATCACAGGCTTAGATCACTTTTTCTTTGTATGAACAGTACTTAAATATACATTTATGCACTTTGTCCTTTCTATGTGTCTCTACGGTGAGAAAAAGGATGTCAAGAGGTTCAGTGTGCCAATGTTTGCATTACTAGTGCTTCTTCTACAGTGTTAATGCATCTTCTGAGGTGGGAGTCCTCAGTCTTGAACAGATTAAAATCCTCACATCTTGAAACGAGTTTGGTCCTGCTCCAGTAACAGGAACCCTTAATGAACTTATGATTTCTTGTCCTCCAAACACGCAGTTTCAGCTGTCTGTACTTGAGGAGTGTCAGTGAGGGGCGTATGTGTGCTTAGTGTCTGGACTGGTAACCAGGTGCTTACTCCCCACACACATCACTGCCTACATCTGCACAGGCACAGGGGAATTATTCAGGAGTTGCATTGTGCATGGGTGCAAGAATTTGCAGGATTGAACCCCTTAGATGGTTTGCTCTTTCCATTATAAAAATAATTTTCAACACTAAGAGAGTTTTGTATTGTTTTTTGGGGTTTTGTGTTTTTTTGGTTGTTTTTTTTTTTTTTTCAAATTAACAAGTACTCTGTGATTCTGTTTGAAAGATTAGCCCTTCAGGGAACTTTCTATTAAAACCAGTTTTATCCTTGTCTTCCTGCTGTCAATGTTGAAGACAAGTTTATGTTGCAACCAACACTTAAATAAAAATACTTTTCAGAGACACTTTTGGAAATCTTCTAAAGTGCTATCTGGGGATAGAGTTACTATGTGATATTTTATGTTTGTCTTCCACATTGCTAAGACTGTGTGAAACATCAGTTTAGCATGTACTTTTGTTTGATCTTCCTTTTTCACCTCCTTTCTTTACTCAAAAGTTTGTCACATTTTTTTACCTGTATTTGTCTACAGTAATTTATGAAGTTATAGTGTTTACACACAGAGAACTCTAGGTAGGAAGCCTTTAAAAGGTATTATATTTTTCAAATTATTTGAGACCCTATAATAAATAAAAGTAGCATACATGGAGCTTGTGAGACCAGACCAACTGGTAAACTAAATAGAGGGAGTGTGGTATTAGATCACAAAATATACAAGAAAGAAGCAGTACCTAAACCTTGCACATATCATGAAACATCATATACTGTGGAGCAGATTCATACCCAAATATGGCTCCAAAATCCTTTGTGAGTCAAAGCAAGCAGCCCCTCACATCTGGCTGGCCTTAGGCAGCTGAGCCCACACGAGCTTCTGGGGGAGCCTCGTGTGCTGCACTGGAATGTGCATATTTATCTCTTTAACCTGTTTGCTCATGGTCTTGCCAACAACTTCGGCTTCAGAAAGCAATATGTCAACCCTCTTCTCTGAGGTGTACAAGCCTGGCTGTAGGAGAAGTGTGTGAAATAGGTGTAGCTCAGCAAGTGGAGCCCTGTGTTGCACTGGAATTGATGATGTGTAGCAAATGGATAAATTAAAATTAGGTCTGTTATTACACTTCTATAACTGATATTCTGGTGCCATCCTTCAGTGATTTCCCTGTTAGCACTCTGCCAGCATACAGGCACTTGGTAGTTTTAAAGCAGTGACAAGCATTAACCATTGATGATTCAAAACAATTGTGCTCAGCTTTTCGACACATGAAAGTCTTTACTCATTCCCCAGCACATATTTGAAATACTTTGCCTTTTTGGTCCCAATTAGCCAAATCTTGCTGAGCCTGACATTCTGTGATCACAATAAACATTATTAGTTATCCAGACATTCAAAATTAGGATCAGGCTCCAAAGAGAAATGTCACAAGGCTGGCTGAAACATTGGAGGACATTTTTGTGACTGTTTTGCCTTCTCTAATTCAGGACTCTAAAGACTGAGATTTTCACAGCTTTTTCAGAGGAAGGCAAAGTTAATTTTCATGAAAGCTAACATTCTTTTGACATAACAGGGTTCCAGGTCTTAGGTTTTCTGATACATCATCATTTTTTATGAGCCTTGCAGTGCAATCAGCAGAGTCAATAACAATGAGGACATCTACATGCTAGGAATATTTTATTGCAACAGGCCTAGCATCCCGTTCATGAACATAGCTAGAGCAGCCAAGCTGTGCTTCAGATCAATGTAAGGAAAACATCCTGCACATCTGAAGTGAGCTGTGCCTGTAAAACTTTGGTTTCATTGTGACTTGGGGATTCTGCCAGCAAAAATGGAGAGTGCAGAATTAAATCTCCATCGTCTTAGAGCAAGAGAGCTGTGCTCCCTAGTGTCTTTAGTATGGTCATTCCTTGATTAGGGATCAGTGTAGTCTATTGGGGAGTTACACCCAATCATTTAGTGGTTTTTCCATTCTAAAATTGTAGCCCAACAACGAGAACAAATGTTTATCTTTCTAACCTCACATCTCAGTGTGTCCCACCCACCTAATGGAAGAAATCCATTCATGTGGCCAAAGATATCACCCAAAATGAGAGTCAGGCCTCGGGGAGTGATAACTAATGCAGACAGAAGCAGAACAGGGCTGGTTTGCACTAGCTGAAGGTCTAGTCCAGCTCTTAATTCACTATCACAAAAGAACATTTGAGTTAATAATTTTCAGCAATATATTATTCCTATAAAATCACTGTTTTTAAATAGCCTGGCACTTGTAATTAGTCTAGTCATAATGTATATATCATTGTATCTACATGTCTTCTTGTTTCCTTTTCTTCTGCTTAATTTCCCAAGTGGTGGATTGTTAATTACAGAGCTGCAATTAATTATTCATGTCAGACCACTGTGCTGGACTGCAGCCTTCAACTTCTTATAAACAGATGTCACCACAGCGAACGTGTGATCGAGTGCAGGTTAAAATCATTATCACAGCTTAATGTTACAAATAAAGAAAAATGCATTTTTATCTACATTCCCCCGTTATCTCTGTAATGACACCATGTTTTTTCTCTTGGTTCTGTAGTCATTGTTATTTTAAGTGCTTGTTAGTACAGCTGTGGGGAAAGACATGATCAATTTTTCTTTTGGGAAGAGACACAATAGCAAATGTTAGTTAATGTCTCCATTTTAGATAACTGGATAAAATAATAGGTATGGTTAGGGAGCAGTCTAACACTCAGACACAGGATTCTTCATTAGGTTCTAGTGAATTAAATAAGTCATCTGCTTTACTGTCTTTCATTATTAGCTGTTTTTGAGGCATTAATTAATTTGGGGGAGATGGTGTCTTGTTCTAGAAGCAATTTGTATTACCCTAAGCTGTCGGGAAATCTGTGTCTGTGAAACTACTGCATATCCCAAAAGCAAGATGATACATGCTTTTTAATTGCATATGGAGGTGATGCCCAAGCACAAACCAAGAGGTGGGATTTTTTATGAGCAGACCTTCTCCCTGTGTTTTTTAGGTTATATGTGCACCCTGACTCCCCATTCACAGGAGAGCAACTGCTGAAGCAGATGGTGTCCTTTGAAAAAGTGAAACTCACCAACAACGAGCTGGATCAGCACGGCCACGTGAGTAGCCCTCATGGTGTGAATGGGTAAAGGAACATCCATGGGGGAATTGCTCACTTGTGCCACAGGGCTAAGCTTGCAGGAGAGAGACTGAAATGGGGAAAGGTTGTTATGGCTCCCACATTACACCACTCCTGGCCAGCCCTTAGCACTACAGTGGAGGAAGATGTTGTGTGAAGCTTGAATGTGTTTGGTTTAATACATTTAAGGGCTCCTTTGGGTTCTTCTGTTGTTGAGGAATAGGCAACTTAAAAATCAGGGGTTTTTTTTATATTTTATAAGGTAGAGCCCGGGTCAACGGTTCGAATCATGCTCCTTCTCTCATCAGAGGCAGAACATCCATCAGAGACAAGTTCAGGGTGGATATAAGCATCACAGTAAGGGATAGAAGGAAGGCAGATGAGCCATTTGTCATGCTTCTGCTTGCATTTTGTGACTTGGCAGTATGCTCTGCCACATGCAATGGCCAGCAAACTCATGTGCTTTTACATGTGTGATTTGAAGCTCCCTCTCACTTCAGGCAAGAGCTCCTTTACTTTCAGACTCATCGCAGCCTGGGCATAGAGTCAGAAGAAAATACTGACGTGACACCAAAACAGGGCCTATAGAATTATAAGAATAAATGTGCCTCAGTTGCCTTTGAGATAACTGTAGGTTAACTGCAAGTCAAAGTGCCCAAGTCTGGACTTGGGCCTCTAGAGGAGCAGGTACAGATCTGATTGGTGCCAGTTTATTGTCACAAGCCCCAAGGCTGGAAGCTGGTAAATAGGATGCAGAGCTGCTGGCCATGGTTTCCTGCTATCCTCCATTAGAGGGAACAACTCCTTTAGTTACCTGACTGTCTACTGGTAGGTGGTAAGAAAATGTATTGTCTCTCCTGTCCTCTCCCCTAAAGTGACTGTGAAGTGCAGGATTGACTTGGTAGGGCATCCAAATTGCAAAGAAAGAACTAAAAGTGTTCCTTCTGGGCTTGGTGGTTCTCTCAGGGAAGGCAGAAGGAGCAGGGGGATGGATTTGAAAGAGTTGTTGGCTGAGAATAGGGCAGTTCAGAAGAGAGAGATTAAAGGCAGTGTTAGTAAATGAGGTGTTGTGAAGAGAGGAGTGATTTTGAATTCTAAAGCATTTGTAGCGGTAACTAATTTGTATAGCTGAATAATTAGGGTATACAATGTATCAGAAACCCCTTTCCTATTGTGGCATTTATTGCCCGGACTGTGTGAAACAGTGGCCATTTGTCTGACCTGTGTTCTGTGAAAATGTTTCTCATCCAAAAGAGAATTTTTACTAATTTCAGGACCTGAGAATTGAATCACAGCCACAATCATTTAAAATACATCCCAGAAATAACAAGAACAAAAGTATTTTAAAAACCCCAAGCAAACAAAAGAAAGCCCAGAAAGCCTTGTGTTGTTCTTTTGTAAAGATCCATTTGTGGGTACATTGTTCTTGAATCCAGTTCCCACCGTTGTTCCTTTCATGACTGGTGGAGAATGTATTTTTTTTCCTCTCTTTTATTTCATAATCCGTAGAAGGGCAAAGCTGAAGATTTGTGGGCTCTATCACCGAGTGATGATAGAGCAGTATACGTGCGCACTTAAAAAGAAGCATTTTTCATCATAACAGGGGCCATGTGTGCCTCTAATAAAGGGCTTGCAGCAGTATATTGCAAGCTAGTTAGGAGCAGTGCAGTTCCCAGAAGCCCAGATGAGTATAAAGAAGAAGTAGGTTGGAGAAGCTGTCGGGAACAGAGATATGACAGAGCAAGAAGATGTAATTGTCTCAAATACAGGCAGTGGGAGAAAATGATCCGTAGTGTTTGAGATAAAACCTTCCCATTAATTTCCAAAGAAGCAGTAGAGGTTGATCCCATTCTTTACACAAAGGCAACGTGGATGGAAAGTTTTGCGTGTTCAGTTAAGAATAAGCCCTGAAGGCTTGATCCTGTGTTGAGATTTGCCTGACAGGTATTATGCCTTCATGGAGCACTCCCTTTTTAATATTTTGTGAGTTTTTATGTTCCAAATTAGGGTATCAGGTTTTATATGAAGCCTTATTGAAGCTATGTAAATACCACCATTGGATGATCAGTAGAATAAAGAAAGAAACTAATTCTCTGGAGCCTTCAAGGAGGGCTTACTGTGCTATGGCCCATGGCATTTCTGAACTCCTGTGTACTAAGAGAAGAGGAGAATTGAAGCACCATCCAAATTCTCTCCCTTCAGTTTGAAAGAGCCAGTCTTTACTGGTGAGAAGTTTTTAATTATGTTTGATAAAGTGTGTTGGTTCCTGAGCAAGTTTGGATGACCTAAAAGATGCCTTTGGATACAAGTTATAGGTAGAGAAGCTGGATCCAACCTGATTCCATCTTGTTCTAGTTGCTTTCTTTCTTCAACCTCTAGAAGACAGTTTTGGGAGTTCAGGTAATTGTGGTGTTTTTTTTTAAGGTGGTCATTTCCTAAAAATGATTCTGGAGAGAAGAGAGGCCTTTGTTTGTTCTAGCATTTGTTTGTTTTCTCCTATTCCGAGACTTCTGGAGCTGGCAAGCATTTCTGCATGTGTACCTTCAGCAGCATGTATAACCCCATAGCTATGCACATATTCTCCCCAAGCATCAGGCAGAAGTCTTATCTCTGTGTGCATGACATACAGCTTGCTCTGTGGAAATGCTTTCAGATATCCTTACCAGAGGAAGGAAATGGCTCCTATCTCTGGATTTTTATAGCCGAGTGAGTAATTCCCATTTTTCTGGCTGTGAAACATTTATGAATGTGACTTTTTTCTCCAGATTTCTGGTGATGTTTTTCACACAGAGTGCTTTCTTTAGGACTTCTGGTTGCACTTTGTTGGGGTGGCATAGTTTCTGGTTTCTGGTGAGGTGAACCATGAGTGTATACATTATTGTAATTGCTTTTCTGGTATTTACAATAACAAAATTTAAACATATGAACGTTTGCAAAAGCAAACAGAAAGGTGTGAACATGGCCAACAAATAATTGTGAAAGCAGGGATTTTGGAATAGCCACAAGGAGTTATGCCCAGGATTTTTTAGAGTCAACCACACAGAAGTTAGGAACTTCCCTGTTTTCAGAAAGAAAACTTTGCCCGGTAATGCTATTCTTTGGTAAATATGGAAGCAGCATTCACAGCACAGTTCCTGGATTCAAAACCACCTTCAAAGTTTGCAGCTGGCATCCAGATTGCCTCTAGTGACTGGTTTGTAGCCAGTGGGAGCCAGATGCCTACAAACCTGCCTGACCTTACAGCAATCAGGATCCTGTAAGGAGGGATCCTGGTCATCTGCCCAGCTGCAGGCTGTCAGCACAAAGGTAGATGGGGTGGCTGGGGGCCTGTGGCTGGGGGGCTGCTGTGAGTATATGTGCACCTGATGTTTCTTTTGGGGCATGCCAGTGTAAATATCACAGAGCTGGCATCAGGGATTTTCTGTTATCTACACCATGTGGGCAGGGCACTGCTTGGACTTTGAGACCACTCTTGGAGGCTACTCTGTGAGGTACACCCCGTGTATCTAAATCGTTTGGGCTGTTTTGATGGTCCTAACATAAGAAGTTGCATGGATATGAAGGGGTATCTTTGTGCTCACTTTATTATCACTGAGTATTACAACATTAGCAGCTTGTGTTGGGGGGTAGGTGGAGCACTACATGTACAGACCCTCACATAAAGGAAATAGTGACCTTAACCTTGACCATTGATCTTTTGTGACCTCCTGGCTGTATTTGATACTTGTTTTGTACCTGAATGACCAGACTTACCTCTGGTGGGAACGAGCAAGGTAGAGCATCGTGGCAGGGGATGTTATATTTGTGCACTTTAATGTTTGGAAAACTTTCATAAAGGATTATGTGGTCTTGTTTTAGAAATGTAGTTTCTTTATCACAATTTGCATTCACAGAGGAGTAAAGGCAAGGGCATATGTGGGAGCTACTCTGTCACAGCTTTTTCCTCCTTCCACTCGGCTGCTGCTCAGATGGAATGCCTTGGTGTCGATATCATAGCCATTAAAGGCAATAGAAAGTACCAAGTTTGTGGGCCAGCCCTTCAGTAAGCTCATCACCATGCATATACCCTCCTTTAAAATGTCTTTTCCATCTGCCTAGAGCACTCCAAGTGATTAAGATGGTAAGACAAAATTTTACGTAGAGACGGAAAAGTGATAAGGGTATTAAAGGCAAGGTCCATGGCCATTGCGTGTGTGCCTGTATAAAATAGTGAAGTGCTTTGAGAAAGGACTGAGTTGGTAAAAGCAGACATGCAACATTTTAAGGGAAATGGTTCCCTGTCACTGTAATGACTTTCTTGGTGCTGTGTGCCTTCCCCCAAAGTCCCAGTATGAGTCTTGTTAATATTTGGCCCCAAAGGAGCAGTAAATAAGAGGCTGGTGGAAATTGTAGCCAAGCTCTCCACTCCAATCCAATGTGCAACCTTTCTCATTGACTGAGTTAACATGAAATACTGCACCATTTCTGCTGTGTTTCAGTTGAAGTTAACGCTTCCTGAGGAATGCACATTAGCTATTCCAGATGTACGGAGCTGACTGTAATGTCGTTATGGCCCCTGCAAAATAGAACCACCCACACCAATGCCAATTTCGTCTTGTGACTGTGATTATATCCAAAACAAGGGCTAGTGTGAGCTGAGCTCTTTATTTAATTCTTATATTGTAATACTGTGGTTAGAGGCAGCCAAACAGGCCTCCAGCCAGTGGTAACTGAAGCAAGTGACACTCTCGGTTTGACTCCAGTGAATGTTGAAATTGGTTAGTTGGTACCTTTGGTAGGTTTAGAATTGTTTTGGGAGCTTGTAAACAATTATTAATGAGGACAGAATAGCAAAACCTTGTCATTTTGGGGTTCTGCACTAGTTTCCCTCCTTGCTGTCATTTTTGGTAGTCTGCGGTAAAGAGCATCTATGAAGTAATTTGTTTTAAAGGTTTGCCACAGTGAAAGGATCCATGGAGTTTTATTTTTGGTCAGCCGGTTTGGGCTGCTGCTGGTGGTGGGTTTTTGGATGGGCCTTATTTTTTCTGTCGTTTTTTTCAGAGGGATTTGTGACTGTTTTCATTCTGCACCTGCACATTTTTGCAAGGGGGGACTCTTGGTCATTAGCTTTCAGGAGTTACATATTTACACCTGCAAAACGGGGCACACTCTGGGAGTAACTAATTCTGTGTGTAAAAAACATCTCATCTGTAGGAACAGGTATTTATGCTTCAAAAAATGCATGCTCACCAGTGGCGTAGGAGTGAGAGGAGACTAGCTCCTGGGATGCCTGCTTTTTCACCTTCATTTCCTGGAACTACCCAAAGGAGCAGGAGAGTTTTGTTATGAAAACCAGCCCCTGGCTAGTTAGATTTCAGATGTCTTCCCTGCAGTGTTAATTAGATGGGGTTTTTTCCCCTATAGTTTTATAGCCGTCGAGGGTCCTGTCAACCTTCCTCTCAGGACAGTGCTGTGTCACTCTTTCTTGCAGATCATTTTGAACTCCATGCACAAGTACCAGCCAAGGGTACACATCATTAAGAAAAAGGATCACACAGCTTCTTTGCTAAATCTGAAGTCAGAAGAGTTCAGGACGTTTATCTTTCCAGAGACAGTTTTTACTGCTGTTACCGCCTACCAGAATCAGTTGGTGAGTACAGTTGCTAATTTTTACAGTTTAACTAAATCCCACCCTGCCAAAAACTCCTTTTTGCCCCATCGAAACTAGGAAAGTTTCTGACATAACCTACCTTTCCATGATAATCTTTTTCACATTCAGGAGTAATTCTTAAATATATGGGTAGTACTACTGACTTCAAAGAGCCATAAGGATTATTTACGAGAGTAAAGATGACAAGTAAGAGGCTTTCTTTCGTCTTCCCTTCTGTCTACACAAAGCTGTTTGCATATTAACATTTAGTCATTTTCTAATTATAGCTCATTAAAGAACTATTCTTATTTGCAGTGATCTTTCATGCCACAAGCTATGAGCTGAGAGAGATTCTGGTTTGCACATGATGATTTCATGGGCTTAAAAAGTTGACTAATTAAACAGTAAGGCTTAAACGTAAGGAAAATCACTCAGAGATATGCTTTTCAGAGGCTGCCCAGATTACATCCAGATGTTTGAATTTCAATTTGCATGCTAGTGAATAATATATACAAAATGGAGGAGATCATAACAATGGATTGTTAATGAGTAATTTTAGGAAGTGTATAAACAATAAGAGACCAGAGGCTCTGCTTGACAGTGGATTGGGCTTTAATGTTTAAGTCAGTAGAAATAAGTTGTTGCCTTCAGTGTGACTCAGAGCATGCATTAAGGGCTTAATGACTATGGCACTTTGAAAATAAACCTATTTCCCTCTTTTGTTCCCACAAGTTAAGAAAAATATAAGTACTCTCCAAGCACATGGGCAGGCAGCATCACAGAGTCAATGTACCTGATGGATTATTTAAAGAAGTCGGCATTTCTTAATATGAAGCAAAAGTAACTGGTTTTGAAATGCTATGAATAAAAGGAAACTACTGCATAGAAGGCCAATGAAGCTCTGAATATAATGGTAGTAATATTAAGTCAGTCCTATTACAGACACCACATCCTGCTTTAAGGCTTCAATGTATTGATTTTAAACTCAGGTTTGTATCTGAATGCTGCAGAAAACACATTCAGCACCTGGCAATCTCAAGAATATGATGTTTGGACTGGCAGTTAGATTTTTTTCATGTAACTTTCTGTAGAAACCAGCAAAATAGTAACAGGCACAAAAACAGCTAAACCTGGAATTTATTTCTGTAGGATGGATTTTTGTCTACAGATGATATTTACACCAGAGATGTTTCTAAACTAACCTTCCCAAAGCACATACATTGAGTCCTGGAAAATTTCTCAATGGAACATCTCCGGAACCCCTAGAGGCTGATGTTGTCATTTTATTTATGACTAATGAAAATGGAGCCTTTTTTCATTTTTGCCATTTCTTTCAGAACTGTTTTAAGGAGGGATTGATTACATTTCTGGAGGTTATTAGATAAAAGCTAAATACATTACACTTTCAACAAACTATCTCATAATTTAAGATTTAAAGGGCATGCATTTATTTAAACAGTCAAACCACTGCCACAGAGTTGAATTGTAGGTCAGATTTCATTTTAAAATGCTTTCTAGCAGATGTTCTCTGATTGTTTGTGAGACAGTCTCTCAGGAAGAATATGGCCATAAATGATTGTGAGTCTCATCTGGCTTTGGTGGATACAAAAAGTTTCTCTTGTGATGTCATACCAAAACTTTAATATTAGGAAAATGGAAGTTTGATTGGTGAAAATATGCTCAAGAGATGAATAGACATCCTTATTGTTCTGTAGTGCAGTTGGCTTGGTGTGTTGGTGATCTAAGTCAATGGGACTAGTTAGAGCTTGTCTTTTTTCAACGTAGTTTTCATAATGCTGCCATAAAAACATTCACTGTACGTGAGGGACTAACTTTCCACTCTATGCAACATCACCGTGAGTCAAGGGCTTATGGATATCCTGGAATTAAAATGAGACTATAACTAACTTTCAGAGCTGTTTCAAGGTCCTTGTGATAAGGCTGCAGGGTTGTTTCCACCAGTTGTACCTGTGTGATGAGACAGCCTCAGACCCCTGACCAGTACTGAGGTCCCATGGTGTTTGACCAGCCCACTGAAGACCATTAATTAAAAACTCAGGTTTTATCTTTGTCAGCACGTCCCTTCCTCTCTGTGTTTCCCTCCTGGAAGACCTCTTTCTCAGAATTAAAAGTTGGGTTCAGTTGTCCTCTTTGTCTTACTTTTTTTATTTTGGAGGAGAAGCCACACTGTTTTGAAATACCTTTGTTTGATGAGAGCACTTTATTGTTTGAGGATTTGGAAAAGATCCTTTCTTTTTTTTTTTCTTTCCTGAGTCTTGAGGCCCAGGTATTAAAAATGATGTTATGGCCTCCTCAACATAGTTTTTTTGGAGGAAATTTAGGCTGAGAAAGCCTCTTAATATGAACTGTTGAGAGCTGTTTATTTTCATGGGCTTACGCTGGAGTTGATGGCATTCACTGCCTTGCAGGATGGTCCTGTGTTGTACCTCATCAAGCTATAACTCCCACTTACAATTTTATTTTTAACTCTTGGAAGGAGAGCGGCTGGAAAATCCAGACATCTCAGGTTTTATTCACCAAATCTAAATTGGTTGGACATATAGAAAATTTGGCAAGGACAATAGTGTATTTTTTTCCTGCTTCCCAAAAATACACATTGAAAGCCACTACCATGTGCCTGAGAAGTTTCACTGCAAAGTTAGGGGGATACTTTGCAGCAGAGGGATTCCTAGTCAATGTGTTGCTCTGTTGGAATAGGAAGGCTGACTGGATGACTGGACAGGTTTGTAGAGGTTTGCAGCTGCTTTTGAATAAGAGATTTTTGATTGCAAGACCTCTCATTTTTCAGTACTCTGATAGTTTCAGTGGGGTTACTCCTTTAATCCAGGTTCAGTCACTTTAAATATGAGTTCTCCCCAAACTTCTCCTTCCCTTCCTCAGCCTCTTCTCATACAAAACCAGTTAAACTGCCCAAATGTGATGGCTGGTAGGCCTGGCTGATAACATTCCCATCCCAGAAAAAAAAAAAAGAAAAAAAAGAAAAAAGGGGTGCTGATCTGAAGCCACGTCTTCAGGTCTGCAGATGGCAACTCCTAGTCTGGGCTCTTAGCAGTTCATGTGCAGCTCCACCAATAAGGCTTAGCTGTTAGGAGTGTGATTTGCATTGCTTGAGGAAAAGACAACCTGATTGATTCTGGTAAAGTATTTGGAAGCTGTAATGCTGTACGTGGGTGAGTTCCTCCTGCTCTGGGCAACATGAAGGCTGAGCCTGGTGTATCTTTGGGTCTTTCCATTGCCATATGTGTAATACACCCTGGTTTGCCTCAGCTGTGCGGTGTCTTGAGAGTAGCACACACACAAGGAACATGGATAAAATTAGCAGTGAATTCAAGAGGATGGATTGGTTGACACTTTGTACGCTGCAAACACTATATTCATGTAATGTTGCTCCTTTCTGTGTTTCCAGATAACTAAGCTGAAAATTGACAGCAACCCTTTCGCTAAAGGATTCCGTGACTCTTCCAGACTCACTGATATTGAGAGGTAATGGGGACTTTCTGTTTACTTTGCATGCAGATAAGATAAAGAGAAGAGACAGTTTGTAGGAAAAGCATCCTTTCAACTCCTCAGAAGCTATGCATTTTAATGTTATCTTATTGCATATAGTAAGACTCCACCACCTCCTTTAAAAATACTTATAAACTTTATAAAGAAAGAGCTGTTTTGAGTTTTGACATCTGTTCCAGTTGGGGCCAATATATTTGTCTTCCTAAGGGGGCTTCTTGAAGGGGGGAGAGGGTCAGTTTTACAGCTTCAAAATGAAAAGCTTTTTTCTTATCATGCCATTTAATCCTATTGAGGGCTGTGAATTGGGTCAATGGGAAACAAGGGCAGTGGTCCTGTGAAAAACATCTTTACACTCCCCAGTGCTCAACACAGTGAAAAGAAGAGAGAAGAGCTCCCAAAATACACTTCAGCAGTCCCAGACTCTGAATTAGCAATTATTGCCATCAGGATGAATGCAATAACTCCCACTCTGACAACAAAGATGCCATTTTTGTTTCGCAAAAATTGATTGCAGGCTGCACTGGGGGAAAGCTTTATCTGGAAACTGTTGAGTTTTGTGTCTGTACAGCTCATTACAAGCAACTGCTGCCATGGGGACAGAAGCATTAACCCACAGCTGAGTAGTAAATAAACTTCAATCTCTTGGCAGCTTTTCAGCACATCACATTTTTATGATATCGTGTCAAATAATTTGGCAAATGAAGCAAATTAAGCTGCCTGTGTCCTTTAGGCTGGAAGAGAACTCGATGGAGATGGATATAACACATCCAAATTTTCCTATGAGCACACAATCATGAAAGAAAGTTTGGAGAGGCCAAAACCCTCCAGGCTGCTATGTGGGGATATCCAGATGTATATGTGAATCATCTTTCACAGGTGCATACAGGAGACAAAGTGCTCACTGGAGTCATATTCGTAGAGCTAGACAAAGTCTTTACAGCATTTCAAAAGTACATCTATCTAAGCAGGTCCATGGATGGGAAATAGTGATATACTTTATACCTTACTGGTGACTGGATCATTAGTGATCCATTGAGTAAATGGGTAAAAGAACAGTAATTTGGGGAAAGAAAGCTTGCAGCTGCAGTGCACACTTGCAAAGTTGTTGAAACTTGTTTCCTAAGTGAAAGCCTTCACCGAAAAAAAAAGGCAGATTTAATAAAAATAGCATAGCCTGCTGTATTGACAGAATGCTGAGGTAAACAACATCCAAAGCTCAGGTTTGTATCCAACAAATAGTCAAGAAAGGACCTGTTGGAAGAGATTTCCTTGTTTTACAGACAGGAGACATCTAACGATACAGCATTGCAAGGGCGGAAAGAGTCTGAACAGATAAGCTGGGAGAAAAACTTAGTTACCTCTGTGCGGATGAAGGGACTATCATGGTGCTGGATACGAAGGGAATTTTTCCAGAGGACATCTTATTATAACAGCACATGGCATGGAGTCAGCAATGCTGAGCATAAGCTGCAGTGCTCTTTTGTTTATTGATAAGTGTAAGAATAGAGCCTGAGACAGGCAGCCGAGCCCAGGCACGAATGTTACCATGAAAGATAAGGCAGACAAATGTGAAGCCTACAATAAATACAAGAAACAGAATGTGAAAAGTATTGAAATTACATTAAAACTCTGGGTTTGAGAGTCCAAGTTTGGTTAAGGTCTTATTTTGACTTAAGTTGAAAATCTGAGCCCTGATTAGCAAACAATAGTATTTTAAAATACAAAACCTGCTGCACAACACATATTATCATGAGATAATAAAAGTGTAACATGCAAGAGGGCTGGTAAGAGGTTGTTTGAGAATTTCCTAAGTTATGCAAAATGGTCCAGAAATACTAAGGGGTTTATTCTGTTCTGGAATTAAAATATTCAGGCAGATGAGAATGTAATTCTCTAAGTGCCCACTAGTTCTATAGATTTCATCTTAACACCAGCAGAATTGCTTAAAGAAATCTGAAATAAAGCAAAAGGAATAGCAAAGTGAGATATGACAAGAGGAAAAATTTCTTACTTGATGTCCATTGCGACGTGCATTACAAGTAGGTGAGTGTTGAATAGTAAAACATAACTCTTGCTCAGCCCAGTTGGAAATCTAGTTATTTCTGTAAGATAACTGCTGGAGAAAAATACTTATTTGCCAGGGAAAAGACTATGAAGGCCAAATGCACGCTTGTGCAGCTCTTGAAAATGGAATAGTTATCTAGAAGCTGTGAAAATACTTTCCATGCACTCCTCCCTAAGCAGGCCTGCATACAGCACGTGCATGAGTAATCTACAGTGTGGTGCAGCGATCCTGATGGCCTCCCGTAAAGCATCCTGTGATGTTAGGGCCAAGAGAGCACTCATTTATCGTGAGTTCCAGCTTTTCCAAATGACCTAAGTAGTGTGAAAGCGTACAGAGCTTTGTATTTCATTTCCAGGTATTTAAGCCTGCTTTTTCCTAAACAGCCTTTGGGGAGGGAAACAAATCAGATCAATTGATCTTTAGAGACCTAAAGAAATTAAATTAGTCTGGAGTCAGTTACTGCACTAAACCATCCAGTAATTGGATTGCTCCTTGTAACTGATTGAAAACAGCCTCTATCTGTAACAATATAGGGAGCTTTTCTTTATAGTAGATCTGAGAGAAAAACACATCTTTTTATGACATGATGACAGAAATTGCACTTTTTTAACCTAATTGAATATGATTTTATAAATATGTGACTTTAATGATTTCAGGCTTTCCGTTCTAGATTTACGATCCCTCTGTAGGAAATTAAAGCTGCAAATGCCTTTAGGATTAAATCTACTGGCATTGTATGTGTTGGAGTTAAATAATGTGTGTAAAGGTAGTGAAATTAGCAAAACAGTAGAGGAAGTAGGTAACAGCAAAGCTGTTGAAATGCTTGCATTTTCTTTCGTTCCTGTCTAAATACAATGGAATGGTTTTCTTGTACTCATGGCTATATATGCAAAGCTTTTAACCATTGAAAAAAATCTTTGCTGAGTTTGGTATATACAAGTTTTTAGCAGGATGCAAGATTCCTTCCACGATCAACTCTTTCCCTAATTACTTGTGGTAATCTATTTACGGCAATGGGCAGACTTTATCTGGGGCTACTGTGATTTAGATAAGTTTCTGATTCACCTTTTGATCTTTTTATGTGGTATTTACATTTCCTCTACTATAAAAAAGCTCCCACAGTGGTCATGATTGAAAAAACCAAACATTTAGCAGCAATTGCCAGAATGTGAAGCTTAACATGCTGTGGTGTTGACTATGGGATGCCAAATGCAGTGATGGGGATGAATGTGATATTTTTTAATGGTAACCTTTGTGAAAAAAGACTAATACAGGTTTTCTAATGAGAAATTCACTCTGGAGATAAGATTTCAGGGAGTACCTTTGTGCTTTTGCTGAAGAAAAATCTACCAAAGATACAAGGAATGCAGAGGCAGAACCCAACAGATGGATTTTTTTTATCTTGAGTATGAATTTGTCTTTTAAATTGTTCTGAAGAATTAGCCTGTTAAAATTAAAGAGGCAAATAAAACCATCGTTGTTACATACCATTCAAAAAATTCAGTGAAAAAGGTGATAATTTCAAGAGCATGAGTCAACAGAAAACTACTGAATCATAAAATAATGATCCAACAAGAACTGACAGATCATAATCATGACCTGAACATGCTTGTTTATTTGACATTTCTTGTTTATTTGCTTGTATGTGATAGGCAAGTTCAGGGTGTGGACTTGTAACTATTAAAGACAATTAAGTGAGTATACCCATCTGCACAAGTCCAGTAATGCTTCTGGGAGGTAGAGACATACTTCAAGAGGCAATATGGAAAAGTATTGGTTGCACACCTAAGCAATTTTTAGGCAGAGAAGGGAAGGATGGGGGTAGGCAGGGTGTGAAGTAAGAGAGCTGCATCCCAACTGGATTTGCATGGTAATAAGTTCAGAATTTTCCCCTGAGGAGCTTCATGTATGAGATATGGAAACACATTGTACTGGTTTACAAGGCTGTAAGCAAAATGGATGCTAATGCCTGGATGTAGGCACTGCCCATCTAAAGTATGAGTCAAAGCCATAAGCTTGATGATGTGCTGTGTACAACAAACTCTCTTTCATCCCTTCCCTGCTCTCCTCACAGACCTGACTTCCTCCCCATTTCCACTGCTTACTGCTCATCTAGAAGAACTTTCCTGACTCTTGAAAGCCCCCTACCAGCAGCCACAAATACACATATATACACTCTGCAATCTACTCCCATGTCCATGGTTAATTAGAGCTTTGTCATAGTTCTCCAACGACTCAAACTCCCAGATTATTTTTTACCCCCAGCTAGTTCTCAGTCTGTGAATGTCAGCAACCAGCCACAAGATATCATCTCTGATGTTTAGGTTTGGAGAAGAAGTGAAGTCCAGAATTTAGGGAGAAATACCAGAGACTCTGGTACCTAAATGCCTCATATCTAGTGCCATTCCAGATATTGCTGATGCTTTTCCAGCCTTCAGCTGCTGCTCCAAATGGGTGGGGGGATTTTCTGTATTTTCCAGATCATTCCTTCCAGACCACTGCAGATGGCTTGATGTCTTAGCACATCTTCAAAGCACTATCTGCCTTTGTTTAGACACCTGATTTATTCACTTCAAATCTGATTCCTCTGACTCTGCTTGTTGTTAGCCAGGCAACTGTTCCTTTTCATCCAGCACAAAGCCCTCTATGCCAGTTTAAACCTGTTTAGTTCCAACTTTTTAAGCATGCATACCCTGGCTCATTTTCCACTTAGATGTTCTGTTATCTAATTTTTTACTTATGCAAAATGGTATAAAAATGTTTTGTTTTTCTAGTAGTTTCTACTCACCTCATGCAGATGTAGTGTGTGCATGACAGTAGGGGATGATGTGAAATTAGATCTACGGTTTCCACCCCAGAGTGGGTTTTCCAGGGATTTCTCCCAGTCACTGTTTCAGTACTGTTCTCTCCT